TAACCAAAGCACTGCGATAACGTTTTGACAGTAAAGAGCCTACGCACTATCTACTACACACCTCTTTAACGCATATACTTACTTCTCACTCTTTTTTAAAGCATATGTAATACACCCAGTATCATAATAGAGAATTTCGAATCTTACTTGTAATTTCAATTTTAATGATTTGAAATAAGTCAAGAGGTGAGTTTCTTTGCCCAGAGTGCTAATAACGGTACTCAAAATTTGTTGCTGGATTTAACCTATAGAAAAAAGCATACAAAACTAAAAGCAATATTTGCATAGTTATCAATACAGTAAATATTAATATTTATTAACAGAGTGCATATTCATCCACAGAATCAAGCCACAATTCACACATCGTAGTATTAGCTCTGCCAGTTTTAAAATTTACTAAAGAAAGAGTTTTTAATGTACTTATAATACTCTTTGTGGGATCAAACTATAATACAAAGTCAGCATAGTGTCAGTATTGGTAATACATTAAGAATCGGTGGAGTATTTTATTATTAAATAAACGCACTATTGGATGGATATGTAGTAACAGTAATTCTATTAATAATGAAAAATATATATATATATATTGAGTAAATAGTTCAAAGTATCAATAGTATTGAGGTGCACATATACTAGACCAGCTATGCAGTCGACTAGATAGCTCGACGGCTGGTTACGCACTACTTGACTTTGAAGCTTGGAAATAGCGTGACACTTATCGGTCATGATGATTACAGTAATGCTGATACATTACAGAATCCTTGCAGTTTTTCTATCTGCATAAGTCTCCTATGATAAGTTTTACTGGGATCTTCTGATTCTGTACTTACTTTCTGCATGTTGACCCGTTTTGATCAAAGAGCCCACAAAGCTTGCGCACGTGCAAAATTACTCACAGGCATGCAAAAAGAGACAGAGAGGAGAGACAGAGAAAGTAATACACANTAGCTGAGTCTTTCTCGCCCTCCATATTATACATATATATATATAAGTTTATTTCGTTGATCTTCTGGGGCAAATGAAAACACTTAGTTTAAGTGACGTTGCGTCGACTGGTGTGTCGACCTCTTCAGGCTTTATTAACAATAATAAATTATTACAATGACCAATATAGACAACAGATACATATAATGTATAACTGACTAATAAATTACCTTAACTCAAACCGTGAAAGACAATTTGTTTAACGTATCGAGCAAATGGTTCACACGCAAGTCAAACTGGTAAAGGCCCCAACACCGCAATGTACCCCGCTTTTATAACAAACACACACACCCAAACAAATACAATTTTCGCAGTACGATGACCTGAGCCCTCAGTTCACATATCACATTATCAGTATACAATTCTAAGAACGTACATAGTCTTAAAAAATGTACAGAATTAAAGAAACTTCGAAGAGAGCCTTAAAAGAGAGAAAATGTGAGCACCAAAACAACTACAAACCGGAATGGGTAGTTACTTTACACCAAATTTCTAATAACCATAATTTTAAGTGGGACAATATAAAAATATTAGACAAAGAGACAAATTATGGTAAACGTTTGATCTCTGAAATGTTACAAATTACCTCCAACATTCATAATATAAATAAGAAAGAAGATGTTTATAATTTAAGTCGCACTTATCAAAGTTTCTTGAATTCTGTACGTTTTTAAAGATTATGTACATTCTTAGAATTGTATACTGATAATGTGATATGTGAACTGAGGGCTCGGGTCATCGCACTGCGAAAATTGTATACGTTTGGGTGTGTGTGTTTGTTATAAAAGCGGGGTACATTGCGGTGTTGGGGCCTTTGCCAGTTTGACTTGCGTGTGAGCCATTTGCTTGATACGTTAAATAAATTGTCTTTCACGGTTTCAATTAAGGTAATTTGTTTGTCAGTTATACAGTATATGTATGAGGGCGAGAAAGACTCAAATACATATATATATATNTCTAAGAAACACCCTGTAAGTAAAATGTTTTATCAAATTAAAAAAGAAATTTGTTAATTTTTTAAATAAATTATGAAAACGATTAGTTAACAGACACTGGAAAACAACTTAATAACACTTATTGATGGATAGCATTTTTTAAATTATTTATTTTTTTTATGTACTTCTTTGTCAATGATTTACGTTTCTTCTTCAATGTAAGGTTAGCAAATAAAGAGTCTTTTTTAAGAAAGTGAATGGGTCACAAAAAATGTAAGGAGGGTAAGGGGTAGAAGAACAAACGAAAACAATCCAGTCTCTATATAGGGGAGTCAGGGGGAATACAAAAAATTTGTGGGGGTTGAGGGGTGGTGAGGAGGGTAAGGGAGCTATTTAAAATTAAATGGGGTTCACTTAACAGTGAAATAAAATGAATTCCACCTTATATTAGGGGAGCTAAGGCGTATGACTGGAGGTTGAGGAAAAAATGGCGGCCAAAAGGGGTAAAGGGGACAATAAAGTAAAATGTTCTTAAGCCACTTTACAGAGAGCAAAAAAAATTTGCCTTATTTTAAGGGGCTGAGGGGCAAAAATAATGTCTAGGGGGGGGGTATAGAGAGGTGCTAAGCTTTTTTAACATTACAATCAGGAATTTTATATATATATTGTTACGGGGTGCAGCCGATGTGGAGTAGCGAGGGGTAATTCGCAACCTCGACCGGGCCTGTGTTGCTCGGGTACCCTCGGCGACACCTCAAATAAAACTTTATACGCGGATCTCGCTCTCCGAGACACCGCAGGGGACAAGTATCATGGCGACCTTCGGCATCGTCGCCTCTCGCAACGGCTTTAGTACGACATAAAGGGGATCGGGTGCACTCAGGATAATCACTCGCGAGGAATATGGTATAATAAAATATATTCAAGTATAAGAAATAAATACAAATCGTACTCGGGGGTGTATGTGTGTGTTCTTGCACGTCGAGCGCGAACGCTCAACGTGCTCTTGGCATGAAAATGCAAACTGGGCATACCTACGCGGGCTAATCTAGGGCCACTGTTCTTTACAATAAACTGCCTGTTGGCAGGTACTTACAGTGATGTGGGGGGTCGCTCCTCGCCGGTGCCTTGAATAGGCGAAAACTAGTCGCTGTTAGTGTGCAGAGGCCAGTAGGCGTCCCTACTGGCTGTGTTCGAAGGTCAAGGTCGTCGGGGCTGGTCTTGGCTCAACCTGGTCCTCTGGTTCAGGAGCCGGGTCACGTAGTTAATTCCCTCCAAGGGTCGCCAATATCCACGTTATCGGTGGATCACCCAATCACTCCAACACACAAAATTCTCGCACCAAAGCAAACGTAAACAAACGGGGAAACAGAGAAAACACCTCACGCGCGTTTGCTGGCCCAAGCTAATCTGTCCTCTCTCAGCCTTTTTCCTGTTCCCCTACTTTCCCCTACCGCTTTCCCACTTAAGCCCTTAAGCCCTTAAACGCTCTCTCCCCATTTCCTTGTTTTCCTACCTACCCTAGCCTACTAATGTGGCCTAACGGTGGGGCACCGTTATAATATATATATTGCAATTTCAAATTGAAAAAAAAGCGAAATTTCTTGTTTTCAACCTCAATATTTATGTACTTTTAGCTTTCTTTTATTAAATCATAAAAAAACTTACATATTACTTAATAATCTTCTACGTTTTTTTTAAAAACTGATATTAGTACGATATAGTTAAAAAATATTATAAGCAAATAAGTGTTTTTGACGATTGCTTAGTAACTGTTGAAATTTGCATCTTACATTCCTTTTTTTTTGGTTTTACAAGTACTCTGCTGCTATTTCTTATTAAAATTTTCTTACATACATGTTTAAACATATGTTTTCATAAACAATTAGTACTTTAACGTCTATGAGCGCTAGGTAAGTGATAAATTACACATATTATGACATTTATAGGCATGCTTCCAAGAAGTAAATTTTAAAAAAATTCTTATTTTATAATTTTGAAAACAAAATATTGTTTTACAAATAACTGTACAAGATTAAATATTGAGATCATTAAAAACGTAGCCTTATATACGTTAAACTTACGTTTTTCTCTGTTGAGAACATATTATTTTGCTTTATCACAACAAAATTGAAACTGTGTTTCTGAATTTAATGTCACCTCTTTATCATCACTATTAATATTGCTTTTACTTTTTGCTTTTTTATTTAACACATGGGAAAGCTACGATTGTCATATGTATTGTGTCTTATATTATGTTTACGCTTACTATAGAAGTTATTTTTATAAGTTACGCCATTACTGTTGCGATGGTAAGATCTTTGAACGTCTAACAAAACTGCATTACTTTTTTATCAGAGCGTCCTGACATACTTGGACATAATTTATGAACTTGGAGTCTCTTACTTGCTATTCTGCTAATACTGATAACACAATGAAGCCTACTAAAACTAAGGTATCGACACAAAAAACAAAGGAGTAGCTCATTCTTGTTCTTTAACTATCGCTATCTTATAGCTGACAAGTTCTTTCTTACCTTTAACTTTTTTTATCTTTCTTACCTAAAATTTGCTACAAGTAAGATCGGTGCAAACAATTTCTTTGTTATGCATGACACTTAGAAAAAAGAAAGATATGAACATCACAGTTTCAACACGTTTTTAATACAAAAATAAAATTATCAACTTAGACAAATTAATAGAGACTCTAGAATGAAAAAACTCTCTGTAAATTTCCATCCAGTTAATATTAGAAATAGTTAACATCCGTTTTCTGAACTTGACATAGGCTCTAGCAAATGTTAAATTTGGTCGAGTGGCTGGAAGTTACGTGTAGTATAAGTATAGCTTGCTAAAAGTCTGCAGTGAATTGATTATTTAAAATATTGAATATTTTAAAACTAGCTTTCAGCTTAACATCACGGATTGGATAGGCAAAAAAAAAAAAAAAAGAAAAAAAAAAGAATTTGGAAGTATTTGTATGCAATTGTTAAACATAAATTGAACTGTCACTTTTTTGTATTGAAAGTGATTATTAAAAACGTTTTATTTGACAAGAACTTATAATTTTTTATTTTAACAGATAATAATGCGAGTCAAGTTAGCAGCTTGTGGTTTTAAAGAGAATCTTCTTTTATCACGTAAGTTTTTTACTCTTTACAAACTTTGTGAAGAGCAACTGAGTAAGCAAGTACACTACGATTTTGGACTAAGGAATATACTATCATGTCTAAGAACTCTTGGAGCCCAGAAACGAGCTTATCCTGGTGAATCAGAAGAAACGACTCTAATGAGAGTATTAAGGTACTAATAAGTGATGGTAAAAATGAGTAAGTTACACAGCTTTGTATGTAACAAAAAATTTAATATCTTAATTTCATCAGAGATATGAATCTGTCAAAACTAGTCGATGAAGACGAACCTCTGTTCCTCTCACTGATTGATGACATGTTTCCTGGGATAAAGCTGACAACGCAAACGTATAGAGAATTGCAAAGAGCCATAACAAATGCTACTGCTGCTCTTGGAATTGAAAATCATCCTGAATGGAATTTAAAAGCGATTCAAGCAAGTGGTCAAATTTTTGGAGTCAGATTTATATTTTTATAAGCATTTGAAACCTTCACAAATTTTTTTTCTGTTACAGCTTTATGAAACATCTCTTGTCCGTCATGGCTTGATGGTTCTAGGACCAACAGGTTCTGGTAAAACGCAGTGTATGTGGACTCTTATGAAAGCACTTACTGAACTAGGAAGACCCCACAGAGAAGTCCGAATGAATCCCAAAGTAATGCTTGTATATGTTTATCTGTGCTGTATTATCAAATTTTTACGTCTAATGCATCGTTATAATGTTGGATAATTAATATAGTTTCATTATATAATTTTTAGGCTATAACGGCATCGCAAATGTTTGGCAAGCTTGACGTAGCAACGAACGACTGGACTGATGGAGTATTTTCTACAATTTGGCGGAGATCTACTCAAATTCGAAAAACAGAGTATCTGTGGATAGTTTTAGATGGGCCAGTAGATGCTGTTTGGATAGAAAACTTAAATTCGGTCCTAGATGATAACAAAACCCTTACTTTAGCTAATGGTGACCGAATAATTATGGCACCAAATAGCAAGCTCGTGTTTGAGCCTGATAATGTTGACAACGCTTCACCAGCAACTGTATCACGCATGGGAATGGTTTTTTTTAGTGCTTCTGTTCTAAAATGGTCAAATATTTTTGAAGTAAGTTCTTGAGAAATCTTTAACAGACTTTTTCTGCACTGTGAAGTTTTTTTTTGTAGAAGTGTAAGAGCTTATGCATACTACCTTATAATAACTGCGGTTATTTTTAATCTTTTGGTATCAATATTTTAAATAAATTGGTTTTTAAATAAGTAGTATATTGTCAATGCTTACTTTTTTGCAAAAAGATAAGTGGGTAAAGAAGCTCAATTTTGTTTGTAGCCGAAAATTTTGTTTTATCACTGTTATTCCTAATTGCAATAACATGTGCTTAAATAAACTCTTAATAGTACTTCGTTCAAAAATAGCCAAAGGAATAAGCTTCCATAGAGGTCTAATAAAATGAGTGATTATGATCTCTACGATAATGATATTTTGTCAACTTAAAAGTATGTTCTATTCACAATTTATGTGGACACTATTTTTAAGAATCATTAGTAATGTTTTTTTTTTCTAAAATGAAATTATTGTAAGGTTATTTATTATGAGAATGTATTATGTTGTTTATCTTTTTCTTATTCTGTGAGAATACTTAAGTTGTTAATAAGAGTCATCTAATTATTAAAACTATTAATAGTTGTCAATATCATATATACCCTTTTTTAAGAATACTACGGACATAATACATCTGAGTTATAGGCATTTTCATATGGTTCCCATTGCCCTGTGCGTGAAAAAAATTAATTTTTTTGTTTGCCCTTGAATATTAAAATGCTGTATTCTTAACTTTGCTTTTAGGCATGGTGTAAGACCAAACAGTTTGACCAGGCCCAAGTACTTCGAGAATTATTTAGTAAAATCTATAATGAGGCTCATGAATTTGTTCAGACAAAACTTTCCCCAAAGATGAGTCTTCTTGAGTCGATGTACATACGACAGTGTATTGATTTGTTAGAAGGGTTACTTTCCTCAGTCTCAACAACAGGTATCATGAAATTTGGCTATTTAATTTCTTGCATTGTGCAAGTATGTTGGTACCATTCGAAAGTCCAAAAACAAGACATATATTTTATAATACTAGCCCTGTTCCTATTTTTTTCATTTACTTCAACAATTTGCACATAGTCATTCAATTGTAAGACGAAAATAAATGAAATACCTAACTAAAACCTTTTTTTAATGTACAGAATTACTATCACCCAAGCATATTGAGAGATTGTTTTTATTCTCTGTGATGTGGAGTTTAGGAGCAGTTCTTGAACTAGATGACCGTGCAGCAATTCAAGACTTTATGTTACAGCATCCATCGAAACTTGATTGGCCAGTTTGCAAGGTTAGATGGAGTATGTGGAAAAAAAAAAAAAATTTAACTATAACCTTATCACTTGTAACATCTTATTTCAGAGTGATGAAACTATTTTTGAATTTCTTGTATCAGAGAAAGGATATTGGATACATTGGGACCAAAAAGTACCTGAATTTATATATCCTTCCGACAGAATTTTAGAGTATTATTCAATCTTAGTTCCCAACATCGATAATACAAGAACAATGTACTTGATTGACTTAATAGCTAAACAAGATAAATCAGTTCTTTTGATTGGTAAATACAATAATTTATTCTAATGTACGTGGCGAAAAATCAATTAACAGTTCTTACCATATACATATGTGTAACATAACAATAACAAACTTGTCAGCATACGTTTTTCTATATTTTTTTCAAACTTTTATCTTACATTATCAATTGATACGCGTGAAATTCTGTGTGGTAAGAATTCTTGAAAAAAAATAAAAAAATAAAAAAAAAATAGTAAAAACTATCATGATTGGATAATCCACTACTTTTCCGGTAATTATTATATTAGCGAAAAAACTAGTATGATAGTTTAAAGTTAAGCCCCATCAACCATCATACTTTCATTTCACATTTTTTTGAATACATTCTGAAAAGTTTTGAGATAGTCTAATGGAAAAGTGCTTTATAGTGAAAGTTTCATCTTGGACAAGTACTTAATATTGATTGTTTTAATTATTTTATAGGAGAGCAAGGCACGGCAAAAACAGTTATGATCAAAAGTTTTCTATCTACATACAATATAGACTACCACGTGCACAAATCATTCAACTTTTCTTCTGCTTCAACACCTAATATGGTTCAGGTAAAAATCTGTTTATAACAGTCAACTTAGGACTGCATATTTTAAATATTAGGTCTCAATTTTTTCTTTTTTCTTAATTTCATCTATTCTCATAGCGTATATTTGAAAGCTACGTTGAAAAACGAGTGGGCAATACATTTGGACCTGCCAATGGTAGAAAGATGAGTGTTTTCATAGATGACATTAATATGCCTATAATAAATGAATGGGGTGATCAAGTAACCAATGAAATTGTTCGTCAGTTAATGGAGTACAAAGGCTTTTATTCACTTGACAAACCTGGAGATTTTTTAATATTGCAAGACCTTATTTTACTAGCTGCCATGATTCATCCTGGAGGAGGAAGGAACGATATTCCTCCAAGGTTAAAAAGACAATTTAGTATATTTAATTGCACTCTTCCGTCTAACAAATCCATGGATACAATATTTAGTAAGTACTGCCTGTTATTTTTGAACGATTAAAAAAATCTATTCTTATTAATCATTATTAATTAAATAAATTTATGTATTTAATTTTATAACAAGATAAAGAACATTAAACGTAAAGATTACAGTCACAGTGTGCAGAATTCTTTCTTCCATATTTTATTCTATCAGTAAATACTACTTTCTAAATTAATTTTACCACACACCAAAGTTTTTTGTCTGACTCTTTAGTCTTCCTTCGTATCAAGATTTTCCTTGGCTCTAGCGTTGGGTTCATATATCTTTATCGTGCATCAAAATTTCATACACACCTTATATCTACCTTATCAACTTGCACCAAAAACAGTAAAATATTCTGAAAAAATCGCAACTTTTAGACTCTCGCAACAGATTATGCGCATACATTCTTCTGCAGGTCTTTTCTCTCTCTCACACACAGTCACTCACTTGCAAGGTCCTGATTCCTGTATTCAAGCACCATACTACACAAAGTATACACATATCACTTCCGTACTCGTCTTTTATTCACTTCTGGCTACTTAATGTCTGCTCTTGTCTTCTATATTATCTTCTATTTTATTCTCGGTGCACAATTGGGGTAAATGTGCCTATCACCGTGGTACGTACTTGAAGTTTTAATATAAATGCACTGTAAAAATGATGTACTGAATTTGTATGGAGATTTCCTTTTTAAATATTTTATAAGCTCTGCTGTAATATTCTTTAAAAATTTCTCAAGAAAACAAATGTAGTAGAATATATTAACGGCAAACAACAACGGTATGCTGGTAGAACCGTGGTAGTGTATCTACTCTGTAAATGTTGTCACAGATGTCCCAATTATTGTGTGCCTATTACCGTGGATAAGAAAAGTTTTCGAAACATGCATTTAGGAAGTTACGATGCCTAATTTTTTTTAATTTTTGTAACATAGATTAACGTGCTAACTTACTTATTTTCCACGCATTCATTGTCGTGCAATCCTTAAATATACTTATAAGGTTATGTTTACGTACCCTCATCACGAAAATACGACCTCTATCAGTTGATTTCGAAAAGCGTAGAAAAAAATGACGCACTTTATAGTAATATGAATAATTTTTTAGTATTGTACTAACGTTGGAGTCCTTTTTATTCTTAAAATTAGAATATTATTTCGTGATAACCTCCTATTTTGAGAAAGTAATCATAAGTTTTTATAAATCCACAGTAATACGGCAGAGCCTGGAGATAGCTACGTTTACCTACTAATTGACTTATACTCTTAACTACTCTTACTTTTTTCCTCCAGTCTACTGTACTTGATCTCGAATCTTTCTCCCACACTATTTAATTATTGTGCCTTAACTCTCCTCTATCCTGTTGGACTGTTGACTAAGCTACTCGTATGTTACTTTCAACGTATCTCTATGCATGTATCCCTCTCCTGATCAAGTCACGCGGAAGCGTGACGAAGTAAGTTGAAGAAAGCAGATGAAGCCTAGGCGATCACTCTACTGTTTACTTCAAGTTTGCATACTCGAGTGTTCAAATACCGAAAAATATATATTTTTGCCTGTACGTCTGATGTATTTTGATTTAACTCGGTCTCTTTCATCCTACTCCATAGCTTTACCAAAAAATATAGCTTAAAAAGTCGTTAGAACAATGAAAACGAGATATAGTATCTCCGAATGCTCAAAACGAGATTTTTTCAGGCTCAGTCTCCGAGAAATGGTCTTTTCGTTAAGTTAGCTGCAGGCCAGATTTCTCCTGCGTATTATTAGGATGGGTGTGTGCTTAAAATCAAACAGAGCTGAAAACAGTATAATGTTGGCTACAGGTACTTCCTAATTTTATAGTTGATAGTGTGCAGCGTTAGGAGTTCTCAGTGGCTAAGGTGGTAGAGCGCTTGCTTCCCACCTCGAGGGTTTGAGTTTGAGACTCCGCTCCATCACCTCATCTCAGGTAACTAGGTGGTGTTTTTATATGATCTAATTACTAGGACACCATATAAATAGGTGACTGACATATAGCATTTTACCGTGGCATGCAGATATACAGTTAATAGTAAGAAACGACGATGATTTAGAAAAGGGGGTGGTGGATACGACTTTCTCATAGTAAAATCGTCTTTTTAACAATCGATATAATTAAATAATAAAAATAATGAAATATACGTAGCAAATCAAAGTCAAATGTGTATGTATGCACCTATACGCATGTAAAAATTTTGAATATGAATGAAAATTTAAATTTCTAGAATACTTCAATATCATATTTACCTGACCCTGAATTTCGTGTGCGTTAAACGTGAGCACCTTAATTTCAGTATTTAAATTAAGATTTGTAATGAATTTACTCTCTGAACTCATTTATATATTCAAAACATCTTTTAATGAGCAACCCTAAGTTGAAATTCAGTGGGACCGTTGTAGATCACCGTAGCTCCGTTGTACAGACTTCTATACAGTATTTTCTTATATCAGCGATATCTTATGTTAGTAAGTTTTTTAAAAACGGGTTTTTCCCGAAAAGTTATGATACCCTCTTCAAAATAGCTTTTAACGAAACTTAAATGTTAGGTAAGTTTGATGTGTTGAGTTCATATTTTATAAAGAATTTTTGAGCCCTAATAAACACTGATAATAAATGGTATTCTTCATAATGAATCTGTAGCCTTGAAAATTTGTAAAATTAAAATATAAAAACAGTGAAGTTTTCTCTTTTTTTTGGTGCAGCATACATTTTGTATAACATTCACAGTATAATAATACTGTTTAGTACTCGTACTTTAAGAGAACCAAACGAAGTAATTTTTACTTTTGCCCTAACATTTTTATATACTTTCGACGTAACAAGGCATGAAAGGCATGTATTTGATGTGAGGTTTGCAGAAAGTACCAGTCAAAAGTAAATATTACTTAGTATTTTTTTAAAGTACGAGCACTAAATAGTATTATAATACTAAAAATGTCGTACAATATGTATGCTACACCAAAAAAAAAATAAAACTTTACCATTTTGATATTTTGATTCCAGAGCCTTTCAAGGCTACAGATTCATTAGAAAGAAAACTACTTATTAGCAGTGTGTATAAAAGTTTCAAAATTCCTTGCAAAACATGAACTCAACACAATATCAAGAGTGTTTTTCGTCAGAAGTCCTTTTAAGATTAAAAACATTCCAGAAGGATACCTAAATAAAAGTTTTCTTTTACTGAATGTATAAAAATAAAGTATTTATCGGAAAACACTCTGGGACTCAGATTTTAATTCACTTATACCAAAAAATGATCACTGTTCCTCTAGTTTTTGACCATACAAGAAGTTTTTACAGTTTTGAGTTAATATTCTGTTTTCTGTAGATATTTCAAATTGTTAGTTTGTAATCAAAAAACCACGTCATTAACCATCGTTTAAAATTTAAAATGATTTATAAATAAGTATATTAATAAAATGTCAATAAACGACTTATGAAAATCGTCTGGTACATTTTTGTTATAATTTAACAGAAAATTATCTGCAGTAATGCAGAATTTGCAGTTAATATTAAATTTATATTGATTAATAATATCATTCGTGACTTTTACGTAGTAACTGCAGGTGCTATCTTGTTACTTTTACTTTAATTTGGTTGTAATGTAATTGTGATTGCCAAATTTTAAGAATACAATAAATAACCTTCAAATTAGTTATGAATTTGTCTTCTTATTATTTAATTATTATTATTAGTGGTATCATTTAAAGCTAGCCTTTTAAGACTTAACGGTTGTGTAGAATCTAAGAGTTTTGCCTTGTCTGCTATGTATGTAATGCAGTATATCTTTTTCTTGTTTCTTTACTTGTCGTACGTCGTTTTTCCTTAAAAGTTGCCTACGCTACGTTTTTTTTTCGTGGCTGTATCTTGTTTTAATTTAAACTTAAAAAAAATTTTATTTCCATATTTTCAAAGCTTTATTTGCCATTGCAAGTCAGCTTTTTTTTTGTAATTTTTTTTTTTTTTTCGCTCTTTTGCAAAGTAATAGCAAAATAAATTTGTTTAATCCATTTTTTGATACGATTTAGTTAAAAAGGGTAGTACTCGTTTTTATATGCTATGCACTTTTTCAGAGCTTCCTAAGATGACAGTGGTCATATAAGTTATAAAGTAATATCAGAAGGCTATGAAAATGCTTATAATTGTATAAAGATATTTATTTTAGTTATGCCAGATTCAGTGTTTATTTGCTTAAAAAGACCATCAAGCATATATGGTGCAGGTTTTCGTTCAGTCACAGTTTCAGACTTCATATATATATATTTTTTTATATTAAGGTAAACTGACGCAGAGGGTATGTACAATAACTTCATTCAAAAAGTTTTACACATATGTCTACATTATTTTACACATTATACGTTTATACGATTCGTACGTACATATTTTATGTGTTAAAGCAGTGATGGTGTCGTTTAATACATTCAAGTAAGCTTATTCTAGTGAGATGAGAATCAATTTATTTACGCAGCTTGCATTTTTTAAAGGAATTACACACAGCAATACACGCTTTAACAGTAGGTTTTGCAATAATACTTTGTATATTATAAGGAACAAGTAGTCTAATATTAAGTAGTTTATTTTACAGAGACTTTCTATGTGCATTATATAAAATAACATGACCATAAGACATGTCTTCGTTTTTGAATCCACATTTACACATAGAACTGTTTACAATATTTTGCGGTGGACTCAATCAGCTAAACTGTAATGATTTTAAGGTATTTTATTTGTAGTAAGAACATTGCTACGCAACATATTTAGCTTATAAAAGCAAGGATGTCGTTTTAATCCATGGAATAGTTCAAAGTATATTTTACCTTCATGCTGGCCATCACTTCTATTTTTTTCATCACTTTCACTGTAAGCCAATGAGTAAAATGTCTCACATAAATCCGTAAAATGAACATGGTCTTCTGTGGGAGCAGGTGATAATGCAGCAAACTTAGCTATGGAATAAGCACTTTCATTGTCATAAATACCGGTGTG